AGCTGGAGGTAATACATTTTTCATCCAATTGGTTATCCACAGTGGATTTGCAATCGAATTTTTTTTTGGCCCGATGCAAGTTCGTTTAACAAATTTTGCATATTTAGCGGATTTTGCGGCGCTCATGAATAGCCCGCAATCAGCGCAATGTCGTCTTCGCAAAATTGAGCATTTGAAGTACTTCACAGTGGTACAGATTTCTTCTGTTGTTCCAGTTATGTGAAAAGGTCTTTGCTCGTAGAGGCTTCCAGAAAACAGATGTTGCCTTGCTTCACACTCTCCGACTTCAAATTTTCATGGCGTTATCGAAAAAGGTGACCGATGATCATGCTGAAATGCGCCGGATCAATTCCTTTGCCTGAGAAAGCCTGTGGCACACTGTCCTACTCCCCTGAGTCGGAAATGTTCTTGATTTTGACGGAAGACAAACATAAAGGAATTTTGTATCCTTTTAAACTTTTTACTGCCTTTGTTACTACGAAATTAAGATCGATCGTAGAAAACTGTTTGCTCTCTTCTTGAATTTTCATTGAGCATCACTCTAATTCGGATGTATATTATCCGCATGAAGATTTTGTACAAATGTGACAGGAAACACACGGTAAAAACTGATGTTTCCTTGTCTTTTTTTCTCGGTATCAACACTGTCTTCGATTTTTTTCACTCTGGCAGCATCTGTCATAACTTGGGTCAAAAAGAAATATTTTTTAAAATGTGATGATTGAGAAATAAACTCAAAAAGCAAAACGATCTCTCCACGTCTGAAAAAAATCAGTCTACAATTTGTTACAAGCAATATATGGTTCAACGGGCAGACAGACGAGCAAGAGTGGCCTAGAATGAGAAAAAATTTTCCGAAAAATACGCTTACCAATGTAACAGTGGTGCCGTGGAAACACACTTTTTGGAGCAAATTAACAGGCCGTCTTTGCCAACACCATGAGTTTAAGTTTAGCTGCCAGAAGTCATCAAACAAATCGCGTCGCTGTAATAAAGAATCATTTGAGGTTCAGAATAACTTTTTGCAGTAAAACCCTAGAAAATCTTTTTTTTTTTTCAATAACTAATGCAAGAAACCCAGCAACTTACCACAGCCGTTCGATTGACTAATCTCCTTTCCGTGCAGCCACCATGAATATATACTGAATCGCCAAACTTCACACACCCATGACTCAACCGACTCTGAAATATTCGAAATAAATGAACATATAGAACTGTGTAGAATTAAGCAAAAGTTTCAATACACGTTAATTTATAGGCACTAAACGAATGAGTCTCAACCCTCACCACATCGGTTAGGGTATGCGTGTGCAATTCTGAAACAAAGCACAGTTTTTATGAATGGATGGAACAAATGGATCGTCGTGAGACCACGAAAAGAGGAAATGAAATAGATTGTAAAATGCATATGTGTATTATACAAAGTTAAGAAAATGTAAGGAGGACATGTAGGGAAGCTAAATGTGAAACTGGCTGTCTGTGTTTCATCCCCAAGCTACAAACACAGACAGTGTACGGTGCGGATTGGGGTGGGAATCATCAGTGCAGCCATCTGTTTAATTACAGGGAGAAAAAAACTTACCACTGGAAACCCGTAAGTGCCATCGGGAAATGTTCGTTGCATGCGAAATTTCTTGGACGGAATATTGAAAACTAGCAGCTGAAAAATGAGATATAATGCAAAACCCATGCCTACCTTCAATACAAAGCAGATTAAGAACTACTGCAAGCAAATTTCAAAATTTGTAACAACCGGAACCCAGGTTGCGATGCACCACGCTTGCCCGTGCGACCATGCGTTTTTGCACTGGAATCGCAGACTGTTAATAGCAGGAATGGTTCCGGCATTGCAGTTTAACACTTGAACTCATAACTGGCTGTGTTTTGGCCTCTTTCCGCATGTAGGGGGAAAGGCTACGCCGGTTGGGATGAAGGTGTTGCATTATGGGGCCACGTAGAATGCCGACTTGTTTGCATGAAACTCATTACGTTTGCAAAATCGAGACGTAAATTGAGTTTCGAATTGCACTTGCATTACGATTTAGGGCATTTCAAAGATATTTACAGCGAAGTAACTATTTCGCCATACAAGGTCGTTTTTTCGGTGATTGCTCGTTCACTGAAAAAATGGAAATTTGAAGGAAATCGGAAGAGGATTATGAAACCTGCAAAATGCACACACTTTTGGGTTTGTGATAAAACTGAGTATTTTTCTTGCCACGTGCACGGAATTTCACGTCCAAACAGAATTAAAACGAAACGTTAATACAGAATATCCTTGTAAATTTCCAGCTTCCCAGCTTGTCTGACAAGCGAAATAGCCACTTCGCTATAAATATCTTTGTAATGCTCTAAACCGTAACGCAGGTGCGAACTGGAACTCAATTCACATATTCAATTTTCTATATGGACAATAAATATTCCAACAAAATTTGAGCTACGGTTTTCCCGGTTAGTTTTCAAGTTAGCACACTGCCAACTGTGAACTTTGACATGGCCACACGTGAAGTATAAACCAGTGTAATAGCTGAATTTAAAATATTTAGCTTATACATGCGCAGAGCATATCCCTGCAAAATTTCAGCCTTCTGTTTTGTCTGGATCGCAAAGTCATTTCCCGCCAAAAAAATTTGTATATTTTTTCGGTGGTCCGTACGCAAGATCTAGGCGCGTATGAGAGAAGTTTTTAAAAACGGAGGGTGGCGCAAGGAATGGGAATATGCCCTCAAAATTTCAGTCTCTCATCTTTCCCCGTTGCTGAGTTGAAAGTGGGTGACAAAGTTCACTCGATTCCTAACACACATATACGGACGACCTCTCGGTAATATGCGTTTTCGCCCGATGCGGTACAGCAAAAACACGTAAAAACTGCCAGACGTATAACTGGTCAGCCAAGCGAATTGCAGCTGGCCAAAGTGTTAAAACATTTTCAAAAAATTAATGTGTCGGCGATGCTTTTGCTGCAAAAAAGCGCAAGATTAAAGAAAAAAACCTGCTTCAAACAACTAATTAATTACGTATATACGAAAAAGTAACAGACCGTATCCATTGAGGAAGTCCAATCGGAAGTGCCACCACCAATGATTAAAATTTCATCGCCGGTAATTACTGCTTCATGTCTGTATCGGCCTCTGACATCATGACCATTCTGGAAAGAAAATCGAAAAAAGTCATGCGTTTAAAGCAGCTGCTTTAATCAACCAACATTTCATTGCGGCGCAATTCTGTACCATCAATAAATTATGAATCTCCCTCTGGTTTTTTTAAAGCTACACTAGATATTTGCATTTTTCTGCCTTCTCCTTCGCCCCCAAACATGAAATTTTAAAAATATCAGAAATAAAAGGCGGAGTTATCACAGTGCCGGTGCGATTATGCATTTTTACGCCCGCTTCCCCTTATCATTATGCTCGGGGTGCCGATGCTAAAACTAGACAGGATCGTGCCGAAGCAAAAATAAATAGCAACGCGCACCAGACTAGCCGGTGCGATAATGTGTTTTATGCGATCAGCCCATCGAACGATTGCCTATTAATGATTTTCACTGCTTTGTACTTTTGTCTATGCAAAAATACTTCAAACATTGGAAAATAGTTAAAAATTTCACGCAACAGCGCATGAAAGCTGAGTCCGAAACCTTGAAGGCTGAATTTCTTTCCGTGATTCGCGAGTTAACAGTTTAACCGCCAAAATTCTCACGAGGCTGTAGGTGATACCCAACAGCAAGGGAACGCTGAATTTGAACAGGCAAGGTTGAGCGGGGGGAGGGGGTCAATACCTTAAAATTTCAGCCTCCTAGACCCCGTGGTTCCTGAGATATTAATTTACCTGTAAAAAACTTTCACAGGGGCGTACATGTTACCCGCAGGTACGGGAAGATTAAATTTAAATTTGCCGCGTCACCCGTTGGCGGGGGACATTATACCAAAATTTCAGCCGCCTAGCTTTTGTGATTCCCGAGTTGAAAGTGCGGGACAAAATGTGGGACACACACACAAACACACATACAGACAACCCCGTGACAATATGCATTTTGTAACGCTGTTACACAGCACAAAACGCATAATAAGTCCCATCCGTCCATCTGTAGCAGATATGACTGTTGATATTGAGAGTCAAGAATCCTACATCGCATCTAACAATGCTTCAAAAACTTCAGTTCCCTAGTTTTCATAGTTCTGGGCTAAAAACATCGTAACAAATATAGAGTCGTGGTCTTACCATAAGCAATTTTTGCAGCGATTTATAAAAATCCGCTAAAAAAGACAAATATTCATAATGAAAAAAAAAAGGTTACGTTCAAAAGCGTCCAATTCCAGTGG